AAGGCCAGAGGCAGGCCGCCCGCTTCCAAGATGGCGCCCGCGGCCGCTGCCAGCTGCCAAGATGGCGGCACGGGATCGCGCTCGCGGCTCCCCTCCCCCGCCCCCCAGGCCTCCGGGAGGCCGGGAGCGCGACGCGCGTCGCCGTGCGCCGGTTGCCCTGCGGCCTGGGTGCTGGTCCCGGCCGCTTCTAGCCCCGCGCCATGCGGCTCCTCGGCTGGTGGCAGGTCCTGCTGTGGGTGCTGGGGCCTCCCGCCCGCGGCCTGGAGGGTGAGTGCGGGCTGGGGCGGGGGCTGGGGCCGTGGCCCGGGGCGGCAGGCGGCGGCGAGTGACATGGCAGGGAGCGGTGGGGGTGCGCTCGGGCGGCGCTTTCACCCGCGCGGGGGCCCGCGGCGCGCCCCTCGGCTTTTCCTGGCACCTGCCGCGCGTCGTCCCGACCTCTTTCCGCCTGGGTGGCCCCGAGTGGTGGTCCGCGGTGGCGGGGAGCCCGTGCAGGCCCCCGCAGCAGGCGTCAGTCCGGCGGGAGTGACAGTGTCTTAGCGCCTACTGAGGCATACCCTTTACTATGAATGATACAAATCATCACGAATAGCCGACATTTCCGGTGCCCTTACGCGGAGGCAGGAACTGTGCCTTATCTCAGTTAAACCTCGCACCCACCGTAGGAGAGAGGCTGCAAGACTATCTCCACGTTACAGGTGGAGGCGCGGAGCTCAGAGAGCCTGAGTTTGCCCTTCAGGTCATGGCAGAGCCTGTCTTTCTGCCTGCAGAGCCCACGCTTTATTTGGTACCTCGATGGGTCACTTTTTATTTATTTATTTATTTATTTATTTATTTTTTAAAGATTTTATTTATTTATTTGAGACAGAATGAGAGAGAACACATGAGAGGGGGGAGGGTCAGAGGGAGAAGCAGACTCCCTGCCGAGCAGAGAGCCTGATGCGGGACTCGATCCCGGGACTCCAGGATCATGACCTGAGCCGAAGGCAGTCGCTTAACCAACTGAGCCACCCAGGTGCCCCGATGGGTCACTTTTTAAAGAAGGCCGCTCTTGCTCAGGTTGCCTGCACGAAGGACAGATGAGAAAACTGACGAGACTCCCCGGGTAACCCGCTGCTTGCCGTGGCATGCTCTTGGGGCATCCTCAGGCGGGGAGGCAGCCACCCTGGAGGCAGGGCTCGGGCCAGGAGTGGGGCCTTATCCTCAGGGCTGCGTCACCCCACTCCTCACAGTTTGTTAAAGTCTAGACCTTTCGGCCTTGCTGGTCATTCACTACAGGGGCAGGCAGGTCTTTGCTTTGCGTGAGGTGTCCTGGAAGGAGGCAGGGCAGCTGGGTGGCTGAGCAGGAGGAAGGGGGAAGAATAGTAACACAATTATCGTTGATGAGAGGACTGGTTATGTGCCAGGTCCTGTGCTTTGTGCTTTATGAGCATCATCTTATTTAATCTTCAAATGTTTATGAAGTAGCTGTTGCTCTGGTTCCTGTTTTACAGATGAGTAAACCGAGACTCAGTGTCAGTAAGTGTTCTGCCAGGGTCTCCAACAGCCAGAAGTTGAGGAGCCATGATTCAAGCTCATGCCTGCCTACTTCACGGTCAAACCTCTGTACTACATTTCTGTCACTACGCTTAACCACCAGCTTCAGAGAAGGGCCAGCATGTGCTGGATAGCTTTTGTTTGTTCCCCAGATCGTTCTCTAGCCTTGCCTACCCTGCGCTGTGCCCCGAGTGGCTGTCCTGTATGGCGTGACAACTGGCCGTCTTGCCTTCTGGCTTCCTGTGGGTTGGAATGAAGGGAGCGTGAGGTCAGGATATTGATCCTCTCAGCTTCCTCCCTTAGGGGTTATCATGGGTTGGCTTTGTCCTTCCAGTCACAGCTTCTAGAAGGGTGAGCACACTGTTCCAAGGTTCTGTGACTGTCGCTGCTTCTGAACTCTTAAGGTCTTTGAGTGGTAACTGGCTCGCTCTCGGCCATTACTGGCCCTGAAGTTCCTTACCATTGCTTTTGGTTTCTCTGACATCCTGCACACATGTCGGGGGCCTCTTTACGCATCTTTCCTCACATTGCCCATGTTGAGTGTGCTGTCTCCAGGCAGAATCTTGTTGATTCAGGGCACTGACTTCTTGTTGTAGTCAGTGTGATGGGAGCCCCCCCTAGCAGTCTGGGCCATGTGCACGCAGACCTGAGGATAACACCAGCCATCGGTGGGCCATTGGTCATCATGGCGAGGCCGTGATGGGGTGAGGACAGAAGGACTTTCACCACCTGGGTCCCTTTTAGGGTGGCTGAAAATCCAAGGCTTTTTGGTCTGTAGTGGACCCCACTGGCAGATGCACAACTGGATGTAGCAGTGCTATCCAGGTGTCAAGGCACAGGAACCCCCTCCTGGCTTCAGCACCCCCATGCCTGTCTTCACTAGGCAGTCAACTAGCAGATTTTTGCTTAGCACCCATCACATGTCACATGCTCTGCTGGGCACTTGAGGTACAGTGGTGAGCCAGATAGAGAAACAGGCCCACCCTCCTATCTGCTGGGGAGGACAGGCATTAAATGACTACAAATAATTAAGTAAATTCCAACAGTGGAAAATGCTTCAAGGAGAGTCCCAGGGTATTACTGCATGCTCTTATGGGAGACCCCTCTGGTCTGAGGGTCAGGCAGGGTGAAGTTCACCTTACAGAGGTGAAGTTTAGGGTAAGATCTGAACGTTGAGTCAGATTAGCCAGCAAGGGAGCCAGTGGAGGGCTTCCCTGGCAGAGAAACGGCCCTCAGGACAATACTGAGGTAGATGGAGGAGATCGCGAGTGTTCGGGGACCGAGATGTCTGGTGGAACTCGTTCAGAGTGTGGACAGTGGCCACACCATGTGGGGCCTGGAATCGCTGCCACAGAAGCCATTGTGAAAAACCTGCGGCTGGTAGAGAACCTTCTGAGCAAAACTGGAAGGGTGTGAAGGATCTGACCTAGGCCAGGGCTCCCTGGCAGCGATCTCCAGATATCTTCCTTGCTGTCAGTGATGCAGTGATTGTCGTTTTTGCGTGGCTCACACTGTAGTCAGCGTGTTGAGGTTAAGAAGCAGTCTCTTTAAAGGCACGTGACGCTGCAAGGGTTCAGCGACTCTCACACAGTACGTCATTTCTGTCTTGGTGTGGGATACTTCACAGTTTCCTCTCTTCCCAATACTTGAGTGAAAACACTGGTACCTGAGGGCATAAGAATGTTTTGGTTCCTAATGTGTACTGTCTACTTAACTCTTTCATAGGAGGGAAAAATAACCCTCCTGAACTGAAAATACCAGCTCTGTGCTTCACTCAGACTCCCTTTTGATTTTTTGCAGGGGACATCTATCCATTTTTATGAGGGTGATCAGAGAGAGCCAGGTTCTCATTTCTGCCCTGATTTTTTTTCTCCTGAGGTTCTTTCGGGATCTTGGCATTTTCTGTGTACTTGTGAGACCTAAGATGCTGGTTAGATTCCAAGAGAGCAGATGTCTGTGGAGCTGGGCATTTGGGAGGAGGGTTGGCCCCCATACCCAGCATCCTTTGTTCTCCAGATGTGTAGCCTCTGGCTGCCCTGTCTAACCTTTGTTGTTCTCGTGCCCTTCTCTCCCACGTTCCCATCAACTTGATATATCCTTAAACTTCTCCTCTGTCCTAAAAGCCGAAACAGAAACCTTCTTTGGCCCCCTATCACCTACCCTGGCTTTCTTGTCCCCTTCATAGCTACACTTTCAGAAAGATTGTGTATATTTATCAGTGTACTTACTGTTTCTTGTGCTCTCCATTCTTCTGTGTTGATCCATATTTCCATCCGGTATTATTTTTCTTCGGCCTGAAGGAATTCCTTTAAAATTCTTGTTCTGGGTGTTTGTTGGTGATGAATTCTTTTAGCTTTTAATATTTCTGAAAAGGTATTTATTTTCCCTTCTTTTTTTCTTTTTTAAAAAAGATTTTATTTATTTGAGAGAGAGACAGAGCATGAGCCAGGGGGTAGGGGTAGAGGGAGAGGGAGAAGCCGACTCCCTGCTGAGCAGGGAGTCTGATGTGAGACAGGACGATCCCAGGACACTGAGGTCATAACCTGAGCCGAAGGCAGACGCTTAACCGTCTGAGCCACGCAGGCACTCCTTCCCTTCATTTTTGAAAGATATTTTCCTGGGTATAGAATTTTAAGTTTACAGTTTTTTCCTTTCAGTACTTTAATGTTGCTACTCATCTTGCTTGCATTGTTCCCAACAAGGAATCTGCTGTCATCTTTATCTTTCTTTCTCTGTACGTAGCATGTCTTTTTTCTCTGGCTGCTTTTAAGATTTTTGTCTTTGTCACTGGTTTTGAGCAATTTGATTATGATAATATCTTGGTGTAGTTCATTGAGCTTGGGGTTTGCTGAACTTCTTAGATCTGTGCATTTATGATTTTCATCAAGTTTGTGCAGTTTTTGGTTATTATTCAAATACTTTTTCTGTCCACACCCCCCCCCCCCTTTCTGGGTATTCTCATGATCTGTACGTTAGGCCACTTGAAACTGTCCCATAGCTCACTGATTCTCTTCGTTTCTTTGGATTCTTGTTTTCATTGTATGTTTGATTTTGGATAGGTTCTGTTGCTATGCTTTCAAATTCACTAGTCTTTTCTTCTGCAATGCCTAATTTGCTGTTAATCCCACCCAGTGCAGTTTTCATTTCAGATGTTGTAGTTTTCGTTGCCAGAGTACAATTTGGGTCTTTTAAAAAAAATTATAGGGCGTCTGGGTGGCTCAGTTGGTTAAACGACTGCCTTCGGCTCAGGTCATGATCCTGGAGTCCCTGGATCGAGTCCCGCATCGGGCTCCCTGCTCAGCAGGGAGTCTGCTTCTCCCTCTGACCCTGCCCCCCTCATGCTCTCTCTCTCTCATTCTCTCTCTCAAATAAATAAATAAAATCTTAAAAAAAAAATTATAAAAAATTATAATTAATGTAAACATGTTAGTTGCAGGTGTACAACAATGATTTAATCTTTGTATAATTGCAAAATGATCACCATAGTAAGTCTAGTTAACATCTGACACCATGCCTAGTTAAATTTTTTTCTCATGATGAGAACTTTTAGTTTACTCTCAGCAACTTTCAAATATGCAAGGCAGTATTATTAACTAGAGTCACCATACAGTACCTTACATTCCCATGAATTATTTTGTAACTGGAAATTTGTACTTTCTGACCATTTCACCCATTTCATCCCCTCCCCCCACCATCACCTCTGGCAACCATCAGTCTGTTCTCTGCATCTATAAGCTATTTATTTATTTATTTATTTATTTTTAAAGACTCCACATGTAAGTGAGAGCATATGGTATTTGTCTTTCTGAGATTTATCACCATGTAGCGTAATGGTCCATCCATGTTGTTGCAAATAGCAAGGTTTCCTCTTTTTGTGACTGAATAATAATAATAATATTGTGTGATTCTATGTTCTTTTCCATTCATCCTTTGGTAGACACTTAGGTTGCTTCCATGGCTTTTGTAAATAAGGCTGCAGTGAACATGGGGTGCATGTATTTTTTCAAATTAGTGTTTTTGTTCCACCCAGAAATGGAATTGCTGGATCATATGGTAATTACATTTTTAATTTTTTGAGGAACCTCCATACTGTTTTCCACAATAGCTGTAGTAATTTACATTCCTTCCAAGAGTGCACAAGGGTTTCCTTTTCTTTCCACATCCTCACCAGCACTCGTTATTTGTCTTTTTGATAATAGCTAATCTGACAGGTGTGAGGTAAGATCTGTGTGGTTTTGATTTGCATTTTGATGCAGGTCTTTTATATTTTATGTCCCTTTACCTGCTTAACTTTCTGAACATATGTAATGGAATTATAATTACTGTTTTAATATCCTTATCTCCTAGTTCTGACATCTGCAAGCTGGGGGTCAGTTTTAATTAGTTAATTACTGTTCTCATTATTGATCATATTTTCCTGCTTTTTTGCATGCCTGGTAGCTTTTGATTGGATGCCAGACATAAATTTGACCTTGTTGAGTGCTGGATATTTTAGTATTCCTCTAAATATTCATGAGTTTGTTCTAGGGTACAGTTAAGTTAGCTGAGCATGGTTTGATCCTGGCTTTTAAGGTTTGTTAGACGAGAGCAGAGCTGTATTTACTGTAGGATTAATTTTGCCCCACTACTTTTGTGTACTCTCCCCAGTGCTCTGTGAATTGTGAGGTTTTCCAGTCTAGCGGGTGGGAACAGGTACGCTTCCCAGCTCTGTGTGAGGGTTGGGTACTGTTGTCTCTGATCCTTTTGGGCGGTTCTTTGCCTAGCTTTGGGAACTTACTCACATGTAAATGCTGACCAGTGTACTCGATGGGGGTTACTCGGCAGGTCTCTGGAGTCCTCTCACTGCAGCTTGCCCATCTGTACTATTCTGTCCCACAGACTCTAGCTTTCTTGGTCTCTCTGTACCCTTAGTACCGTCTCCTCAATTTGAGGAGTGCTGGGGTCTGCCTGCTTCCTTCTGCCTCCCTGAGCCCCAGGGCAGGCATTCCCTCAGGTGGTAAGCTGGAGCACTTGTAACGCTCTCCTGTTTATTTCTCTTCCTGTTTCTCAGGGATCCCTATCCTTGGTTGCCTGCTAACTAGTCTCCTGAAACTGGTTCACATTTTTGGCCATTTTTGGGTTGTTTCACTAGGGAGGGTAAATCTGGTCCCTCTTACTCCAGCTTAGCCAGAAGCAGAATTCTCAGAGAAGGTTTTTGAATTGCTGAATGAATCTGTGCATCTCTTTGCGGATATTCTTTGAGACCTTATACAAAGGTGCATACCTTAGGAAGCTCCCAGACCCCTCCCCAACTTGAAAGCCAGTTGGTTTTTCACACTTCGGTGACATGCTGTTGGCATGGCTGAGGGTTTTCCAGCCACATGGCGAGCTTGTCTGAGTACAGTTGGGCTCATTGGTTCTCCCTGGTCAGTGCCTGGCACTGAGTCTGGCTGCTCTGGTTGGGTTAATGGGAGTTGGAGGCAGGAGTCACTGTTACAGAGGTGAGTGGAGATTCCTCCCTGGATGTATGAGACTTCCCCAGAGTCTTCCCTTCTCAGAGCATTTTGCCCAAGCCCTATCTAGTGGCTCCAGAGTGGGAGGAACGTCCTCCTTTGCCCTGCTGCTGCCCCGGCCCTGTGGGGTGCACCTCCTGGCACTCCCAAGGGCTGCAGGCAGGAGAGGCCACCTCAGGCTGGATATGCTGTATGGGTGGGGCAGTGTTCTCAGGCCAGGAGGCACAGCAACTCCTGAGGTATCATGGGGAGGGTAAGGCCCCATCTGAGTAGCAGCCAGAAGACTTCACTCAGAGACCTGGCTCTGCTGCTTATTGGCTTGTGTGCTGTTGGGCATTCCACTGCCTCTCTGTGCCTCAGCTTGGTCCTCCGTTAAGAGGGGATGGTAACCTTTGTCCTGCTGGGCTCACAGGGCTGTTGTAATGTGTGCAAGGATGCTTTGCTATGGTAGAATCTTCTATAAAAGCATCATTATTTTGTTGGATATTCTCATCAAACAAATGAAATTGTTAAGGTGTTTGTGTTCTGTTTTCCTCATTGGATGTCTGCACTGGAATGTTTTTGCTTATAATCCACACGGCAAGAGAGCAGGTATCACATGAAGATATGGATTGGTCCACATTGTATTTGACATTCATTAATCTGGTACCTCCTGGTGACCTCCTTCATGATCTGGAGAATGGTGGGTGGCCCTCTGGTAGCTTCATGGGAAGGGTACCTTTTTCCTCTGTAGGGGAACTGTAATTCCTTTTTGGGTTCATATACTTGGAAGGGACTTAGGAGCGTGAACGTGCTGGCATGTTTTGGTTGCAGAGGAGAGCGGTCACTTGCAGTCGGAGGAGCAGCGTGCTCTCGCTCTGCAGGCGGGAGCTGTGTCTGCGAGTGAGGAGGAGCCCTCGCGCGGCCCCGCGGGCCACAAAAAGCCCGCAGGAAAGGCCGGCGCTGTGCTGGGGCTGGACGCTGGTGGCGACCACGTGGTGCTGCTGTCCGTGATCCCCGGCGAGACCGAGGACAAGCTGAGCCCCGAGCCCAGCGGCGGCACCTGCGGGGCCCGAGGGGAGGAGGACTCGCGGTGCAGTCTCCGAGAGCACCTCTTCTCTCTGGACGGCGGGGGGGCCAGTTTCCAGGACAGAGAGGACGAGTATTACTCAGAGCCGGAAGTGGCCGAATCCGACCCGGCGCCACCCGAGGACGCCAATAACACGGAGAGTCTCAAGTCCCCCAAGGTGAACTGCGAGGAGAGAAATGTGACGGGACTAGAAAACTTCACTCTGAAAATTTTAAATATGTCACAGGTAAGAAGGAATGGTTTAGCGCTTTTCTCTGTTTCCGCATATTGATTTCACGATTTGATACTTTTTTAAGATTTTATTTATTTATTTGAGACAGAGAGAATGAGAGACAGAGAGCACATGAGAGGGGGGAGGGTCAGAGGGAGAAGCAGACTCCCTGCCGAGCAGGGAGCCCGATGCGGGACTCGATCCCGGGACTCCAGGATCATGACCTGAGCCGAAGGCAGTCGCTTAACCGACTGAGCCACCCAGGTGCCCTGTTCTATAAATTTCTTTTTTTTTTTAAGATTTTATTTTTTTATTTGAGAGAGAGAATGAGAGAGAGAGAGCACATGAGAGGGGGAGGGTCAGAGGGAGAAGCAGACTCCCCGCCGAGCAGGGAGCCCGATGCGGGACTCGATCCCGGGACTCCAGGATCATGACCTGAGCCGAAGGCAGTCGCTTAACCAGCTGAGCCACCCAGGCGCCCCTCTGCCAACTTTCAAATGGAGGGTCAGAATCTTTGTCCTTTTCCAAGTGGGACAGCATCTAATGGCTGCATCACTGAAAACCGACTTGGCTCTCTATGATGTTTGTAGGGAGAGGAGGCGATAGAACCAGTGTCGATTATGCTTTTTAGGCGGCTTGAGCCTGGTCCCCCTCGGGGTCCTCTCTGCACCAAGCCTCATGATGAAAATCCCGGGGGACAGGGCCGCCTGGGGGGCTCCATAGGTTACGTGGGACTCTTGGTTTCCGCTCAGGTCATGATCTCAGGGTCGTGAGATGGAGCCCCAGGTCGGGCTCTGTGCTCAGCACAGTGTCTGCTGGAGATTCTCTCCCTCTGCCCCTCCCCGCACTCATGCCCTCTGTCTCAAGTAAATAAATAAATCTTAAAAAAAAAAAAATCCCAGTGGACAGATGGGCACTTGGCATCAGAATCTTAGCATTTTTCTTCTTCCAAATGAGGTATTTATTAAAGAGGCAAGTTAAAAATATCTGAATTACTAAGATTGTGATTTAGCATTGTTTAGTGTGGTGATACCCCTGGGAAGCATTTTTATATTAATGAAAAATTTCTTTCCTTCAAAGAGCTTGACTCCACTGTTTTCTCTGGAGTGAGAGCTGAGACAGTTGTCCCCAACACAGCCATGCTTTTCCAGTCCATTGGATAAATGATAATTCTGAAGAGAACACTGAGATAATGACTGACTGTTTCTGTGGGAAACAGGTAGCAGGATGTGTTTCTGTGTGCCAGGTAGCAGGTTGAGTTCAGGCTGCTTATGTACTACGAGAAGAAATCCTAGCTCTGCACACCGTGACTGCTTATTTTAAATGAGGGTATGTGGTACATTGAGCATCCGTAGCCCCTCCATGTGCAGGGGTCAGCGCTGGCCTCACACCCTCCCCTCAGTGCCTGGTGAACACTGTGCCTCAGCTCTGTAGGTCACACACTTGGCCAGGAGAGAGCAGTTTCAGCAGTCTGAGTTAGGGTGGTGGCAGGGATGGTGCACCCTTGAACTGAACTAGCCTTTGGCCGAATACATTGATTCAGCTGCTTACAGATTTGGATCTGCTGAGTTGATGATTGGGGCCTGAGAGCTCAGTGCTTTAATAATGCCATTAGAGTGTGTGAGAGGCACAGGTCAGAGGTCGGGACGATGGCCTGTGCCTTGTGGGTACTTAATGTTTGAATTAATGCATTATGAAAAATACTAAAATTGCTCTGTAGTACTATCAAGAAAGTTTATGGGAAAGTTTATGATTTGTTATTTGATAATACTTTTCTGCTGATTCATGCGTTCCTATGATTCAAAACCCAAAAGGTTCTTAAGGGGATACCCTATAGTCTCTCTCCTGTCTGTGTTCCTGCCTCCTCTTCTTGGAGGCAGCTGTGTTTCCAGTTTCTTGGGCATCCTTCGAGAAGAATGTACATGAACATTTACTGCTGACTTTAACACTTGTTTCTTTTACCACAGGACCTTATGGATTTTCTAAACCCAAATGGTAGTGACTGCACACTAGTCCTGTTTTACACCCCGTGGTGCCGATTTTCTGCCAGTTTGGCCCCTCATTTTAATTCTCTGCCCCGGGCATTTCCAGCTCTTCATTTTTTGGCACTGGATGCATCTCAGCACAGCAGGTATGTTCCCTGAGTAGAGCTTAACGTGTCATCCTTCTGGATAATGCTTGCAGTTATTTGGAGGTTGTCGTCAGTTAAGTTCGAAGCTGAGGGAGATAGGTATGACCATGGAAGCTGGACTAGCGGGAGGGATAGACAAGGGTGAGTGGGAGGGTGGTCACACTCCTCAGGGAGCTGAGGCCTCACTTTCTGGAGGCCGCTGGAGAGGAGGGACTGTTCTCTGCAGAGTGGAATTTATCTATCTATCATCTGTCTCTCTATCTCTATCTATCTATCTATTTTTATGTTAATTACATCTATTGTTTATTGAAGGCTTACAACGTGCTAGATATTGGGGAAAGCACTTTTCATTTTGTATGTCATTTGTCCTCAAAACAGGTGTAGTGGGTATGTACTATAAGTTTTCCCCTATTTTGCACAGAAATAAGTATCTAGCCCTAGGTCGCATTATATAAATGAATGAGTTGCTATGACTGAGTTAATAATTTTTTTAAAATTTAAATTCAATTTAGTTAACATATAGTATATTTTTAGTTTCAGGGCTGGAATTAGGTGATTCATCATTTGCATATCACCCATTGCTCATTCCATCACGTGCCCTCCTTAATGCCCATCACCCAGTTACGCCATCCCCCTACCCTCTGCCCCCTCCAACAACCCTCAGTTTGTTCCCTAGAGTTAAGAGTCTCTTATGGTTTGCCTCCTTCTCTGTTTTTATCTTATTTTGTTTTTCCTTCCCTTCCCTTATGTTCATTTGTTTTGTTTCTTAAATTCCACATATGAGTGAAATCATGTGGTATCTTTCTTTCTCTGGCTGACTTAGCATCCATCTTGCACATGGCAAGATTTCATTCTTATTGATGGCTGGGTAATATTCTATTGTGTGTGTGTGTGTATATACATCACATCTTTTTTATCCGTTGATCTGTTGATGCACATCTGGGTTCTTTCCATATTTTGGCAATTGTGGACATTGCTGCTACAAACACTGGGGTGCAGGTGCCCCTTCGAATCACTATGTTTGTATCCTTTGGATAAATACCTAGTAGTGCAATTGCTGGATTCTAGGGTAGTTCTATTTTTAGCTTTCTGAGGAACCTCCACCCTGTTTTCCATACGGTCTGCACCAGTTTGCAGGGTGGAATTTAAAGGTGGCCCCACCTGATGGCAGTGAGGGCAGGGGGCAGAGGACTCTTCAGGGTCTTGGCCAGCCTGAATTAGCAAAATTAGTGTCACAAGTGGGACCCTCCTGAGACTCACCCATGGTTTAGGTTTCCACCCCTGGCAGCCTGACTCAGCACCCTGTTGTGTGTCTGCTCAGGATTTCTTTCTTTCCCTCCCCCGTTCTTCCTTCCTCTTGTTTACATTTATTCTTGCATGTGTGTTCCTTAGTGGACAGTGTGTAAATTAATTTAATGAACTAATTTAGGCCCTTAAAATGACATTTACTTTTGTTTTATATTATTCAGTGGGCTCTTGTTTTTTTTAGATGTTGAGTGAGCTATGTTATAAAGAGCTTTGTTCACATGTTCTGTATTTCCCCAGTGCTGTGAGTGTGTTTGGGTTATAAAGCGTGACCCTCCTCCCCTACGTCACGTGCCCTTTAGCCGGGCACAGGAGGTTGTGTGTGAATCAGTTTCGAGAGTCTGGAAGATGGTCAAATTGGTAAAAGCGAAGTTGAGTAAAACTTTTTTGAGTAAAAAAAAATTTTTTTAAAGATGTATTTATTTATTTGAGAGACAGAGGGAGGGAGGGACCAAGTGAGCAGGGAGAGAGGGAGAGAAGCAGACTCCCCACTGAGCGCCAAGCCCGACGTGGGGCTTGATCCCCCCAACCTGAGATTACAACCTGAGCCGAAACCAAGAGTTGAACGCTTAACCCACTGAGCCACCCAGGCGCCCCTCAAGTAAAAATTTGGAGTAAAACTTTGCCCGCCACTCATCTTCAGTGTGGGTAATGTAACTGCCAATGTTTACCTAAACTTGTTTAGGGAGAAAGAAATCGCAGCAAATTAGTAATTCTCACAAGGGCTTCAGGGAAATATCTACATGGACTGGCCCAAGGGAGCAGACTGATGGGAAGGACAGTCTAGGTTAGTGTCAGACTTTGATTGGGCCTTCCCCTGCCCCCAAGCCGGCAGGCCTGGCTCCCAGCACCAGCTTAGTACTCTGGGTTTGGGCTTCCATTCCCTGCAGGCTTTTATCATCTGCTTTGGTCAGTCTTCTCCATGCATCCGTCTCAGTGCCTGCTATGGTGCCTTAACTGTGGAGAGTGGAGGATACTTGTTCTTGTTGTATGGCCTGCGACATGTGTTTGCCTCATATGTTCATATTTAAGTGACAGCATGTTTACAAAAGACAAAAATCCTGATTATCCAATACTATCATTTTACTCACAGGGGAAACTGAGGCTTAAAGAGGTTAAATAGTCCGCCCGAAGCTCACACAGCTGGCTCAGTGACAGACCTGAGGCTTGAACCCGCATGTTTTGACTCCAGAGCTTATAGCGTGACTCTGTATTATGTAAAGGTGAACCAGTCCCTCTCAGATCGTGTTACCTCCTGCCCCAGTTGTGAACTTCCTGGTGTGTCTGCTAGACCGTAGATCCTCATGTGCCGACTTACCAAACTAATTGCTTAACTTAAGTTGAATCTTGTATGAGGGATGGAGATGGGCATTCTGGAGAGTTTGAAATTTCTTCTGTCAAGTAAATTGACACAGTGTGTTTTGTCCATGAATTAGAATTTTCTGGTCTGATCTCTTTTGGCAGTTTGCAACTTAAATAGCGGAATAACTAGGGGATGCCTGGCTGGCTCAGTCGGTAGAGCATGCGACCCTTGATCTTGCAGTGGTGAGTTCCGGCCCCACGTTGGGGGTAGAGTTTACTTAAAAAAAAAGTGGAGGGGCGCCTGGGTGACTCAGTTGGTTGGGCGACTGCCTTCGGCTCAGGTCATGATCCTGGGGTCCCGGGATTGAGTCCCGCTTGGGGCTCCCTGCTCAGCGGGGAGCCTGCTTCTCCCTCTGACCCTCCCCCCCTCATGTACTCTCTCTCTCTCTCTCTCATTCTCGCTCTCTCAAAAAAAAAAAAGTGGAATAACTGTGTCGGGGTAGTTCCTTGTAATAGAAAGCAACTCAGCAGAACAGGAATGCCCCCAATCTCAACCCATAAGGAAAAAGGTCAGAAATAGCTATAAGCATATAGTTTGAATATTAGAAACCTCTGTAGGTCACAGGAAAATGATGCTTTCTCATTTATTGCCATCCATTCTGATATGGTAACTGTGTGAGGAGACCCACTCTTAGTTCAGGTTGTCTGACTGACTGCTTTCTGTCATAGCCTTTCTACCAGGTTCGGCACCGTAGCTGTTCCTAACATCTTATTATTTCAAGGAGCTAAACCAATGGCTAGATTTAATCATACAGACCGAACATTGGAAACACTGAAAGTCTTCATTTTTAACCAGACAGGTATGTAGAAATCATATGCCATAGAAAGGATTTTATTGCTGGAGGTATATGCCTTCTGTGGGTTTCTGTCTGCTCTCCTTAAGTGAAGGAGTCAAGACTGGCTTTCAGATGTAAACCGTCTTTTCTAGTGAACTACTGTGGTTCTGTTAAAAGTCTCTCAATCAGTGGCAAGTTTAACATGAATAGGTAATTTTAATGATTATTGATACCTTTAAAAAACCAGCTTTATTATTCTATAATTCACATACCATACACCTGTAGATAACTTTTTATATACGTTTTTCACTAAAGTGTAATAGTTACACAAATGTGTGCATTATATTTGGTGTTCTGAGGGATTAATTTTCACAAAGTGAATGCCTTGGGTAACCAGGACTCCGACCCAGAGAGAACGTTACCAGCCCATCCCCTCCGCACTGTTGCTCCTGCCTGCAAGGGTAACCACCACCTTGACTCCTCTAACACCATGGACTAGTGTTACCTGTTTTGAACTTTATATTGATGGAGACATACATAATGGATTCCCCTGTGTCTGGCTTATTTCAGTCACCATTATGTTTGTGGGATTCACCGTGATGGTGCATATGGTTATATCTTCTTTTTGTTGCTATCTGGTGTGCCATTTATTCATTCATATGCAGATGCTATTTTAATTCCTTAATATTTGCCAAAACATGTGGCCTTATTTTTTATTCTGTAAAAGTTTGAACACTGAATATTGAAGAAATTTTCTTCTTTGGAAAAGTTTGCTCCACAAAAGCTTTCATGCCTTAATTATGAGCACCCCACTTCTTCCTGAAGTATATTCACTGGAAATAAAAATAAGCTATAACATACCTTCCGTATATATTAAGTTGCATCTAATTACTTCTATCTCACAGTAAAGAACAAAGAGCTGAGTTACCTCATAGGAGTGAAAGGGTTGTTACCAGATAGTTAGCTATTCAAGTCTTACAGTACCAGACCCCTGATTGTCAATCAGGTTGATATGGAGAGAGGGAGCCATTTTGCTCAACACTCTAAGAAAACTTAGAACCTAAAAGAAATTGAGGAGTCACAGCATCTTTGGTAATCTCTGATCTCAGTGGTGGTTAGTTCTAACAATTTTTTCAGTAAATTATTTAAAAGCATTTTGAATTTAGCGTTCCTTCACCTGTGAAAACATTCTGTAGACTCCTGAGAGTAGCTTTACCAGTTACTTGTTGAATTTTGGTCTCAAAGAGAACAAAAGACAACTCTTAACCATGCCCGAAGACCCTTCTGAGGAATTCACAGAAATTCTAGTGTTTAGGCTCTGAACAGCTGAATGGGTTCCTGTTCCTTTGATGTGGTGGGAGAAAGGCAAGTTACAAATTACACTAACAGGCAAGTGAAACCCATCCCAGATATACTAGTGTGGTGTTTATTTTAAGACTGCATATCTTTTTGCATACCATGCAGAATACTTCAGAAAGATCTTTAGCGTATGTGTTTTTTATCTGATTCGAAACAGCTGATTTCTCTTTCAGGTATAGAAGCCAAGAAAAATGTGGTGGTAACTCAAGCTGACCAAATAGGCCCTCTTCCCAGCACTCTGATAAAAAGTGTGGACTGGCTGCTTGTATTTTCCTTATTCTTTTTGATTAGTTTTATTATGTATGCTACCATTCGAACTGAGAGCATTCGGTGGCTAATTCCAGGACAAGAGCAGGAACACGCGGAATAGTGATGGACTGAAAGGAGAAGTCGGAACAAGGAATTTCAGAAATCAATGCTGCACTTTCTTACATTTTCTCCAGTCAAGTGTAGACTTACAGCTTCAGTCAGATTAAAAGAATCATGCATTTGTTGAACTGTTGAATGTGTTAAAAAATTATAAATTGGTGTTTTAATTAGTACCACAAAGAGCAAATGCAAAAATATTCGATAGAACTCACCATTCTTGTTTTTACTAATCCAATATTTTAAGGGAGTGATCCAGTTTCAAATGGGAGCGTGTTCAGGTGGAATAGTGGATAGAGTGACAGTTGGCTTCATAGAAGGAAGAAGTAGGACTTTTCACATTATGGTTTTAGAAAAGTCTTGATTCCTTATATATGTTTAAGAAGGTTGGTTTCTGTTCATTTGCAGTTTTTCTCTCAGAGCCTGTAAGTAGGAAAGTGTTCTGTTGTGGAAGAAGAACTAGAATTGGCAAGTGTGACCTTCTGAGTAACTCGTGGGAAAATAAAAGAGTCAAGTACTTTGGTGTTTGTGATCTTTAATTTCACCGGAGGAATCTGAAGTGGTTTAAGTCATTTCTGGATAGGGCAGATGTTAGGAGAAGTAAATATTATCATCAGACTAGAGCTTATTTATTATCAGTTCTAGGCTAACGCATAACTCAAATTTTAGTCACAATTACCTAACCAGCATGCACTGATTCAACCTTAAAATGTTCTAAGCACTGTGCTAGTTTCAGTGAGAGCCAAAAGAAATATGTAACACTGTTCTTGCCCACAAGTTGATTCTAGTCTAGTTTAGGACACAGGTAGAAAAGAGACAACATGTAATTTATACCAACTTTTTTTTTTTTTTAAGATTTTATTTATTTATTTGACAGAGGAGAGACACAGCGAGAGAGGGAACACAAGCAAGGGGAGTGGGAGAGGGAGAAGCAGGCTCCCCGCTGAGCAGGGAGCCCGATGTGGGGCTCAATCCCAGAACCCTGGGATCATGACCTGAGCCGAAGGCAGATGCTTAACGACTGAGCCACCCAGGCGCCCCTTTATACCAACTTTTTAAAAAGCTGTTTCTAAAAGATCCCTTAAACTCAGATATAAGACATCTGACCACATAATGAGAAGTAACCTTTAATATAAAGTGATTGTTTCCAGTATTTCAGATAGAGTAGTTCATTTCATAACGCACCTTAAATTCTATGGAAATAGAACCTTAGTTGAGTCACCCTCTCAGAATGTTATGTTGGGCAGGAGTTTACAACTTTATGTTGTGGACAGCTCTGGCTGTGGTGGTCACTGACAGGAAGGGATGCTGGTTCAGAACAGGACTGTTACTATTTTCACTTTACAAATGAGCAAACTGAGGCATGGAGAGAGCTTAAGTAACTTGCCCAGGTTACACAGTACATTGATGAAGCTGGGATTTGAACCTTTACATATATGTGTGTGTGTACTTACAAATAGAAGAAAAACTTAACAGTGATTCCATCTTTTATAACAATAACACGAGTATAACTGTGTGTGTTCCAGGTACTATTTTAAGTTCTTTACCTTCCATTTTACTTATTGGTACAGTAGCTCTGAGACTGACACTAGTATTAAATATCCTTGTTTTACAGAAGGGTAATAAACGAGGCCCCAAATAACTTACTCTGGGTCATGCAGTTTCCAGTGGTGGGACCCAGGTTCCATCCTAAGCATGCTGATTGGAGGAGTCTCTGTGCCATGAGGTGAGAGACAATCATAATGCATTTCCCTCTTGTCTTTCCCCTTTCTTTCCCATAGTTAGAGTCCTAACAGGTATCATTTAGCACCTTAGGTTTTTTTTTGTTTTGTTTTGCTTAACAAATGATAAATATTTCACTGTTGTCAACAGATTTCCTAACCATGACTACATAATAGGTCTTTGAGTAGGTTCAGCATTACTTACTTTTTTTTTTTTTTAATTTGTTGTATATAGTCTCATTTCCTGGGGGGCACACTCCCAGATGAGAAGTTATCTTATCAAAGATGCAGGCATATTCATGCCTTTGATATGTCATGGGTTCCTACTCTAGTGTGGAGGGTGAGGAAAGGCTCCTGGGACGGCCAACAGATCCATGGCTTTGCTTCTTTTTTTTTTTTTTAAGATTTTATTTATTTATTTGAGAGAGAGAATGAGAGAGAGAGAGCACATGAGAGGGGGGAGGGTCAGAGGGAGAAGCAGACTCCCTGCCGAGCAGGGAGCCCGATGCGGGACTCGATCCCGGGACTCCAGGATCATGACCTGAGCCAAAGGCAGTCGCCCAACCAACTGAGCCACTCAGGTGCCCCATGGCTTTGCTTCTAATACTCAGCTGAGACAAGCTACCTGGGGTTCCCTTGGAGGGAAAGTGGAGCAGGGCAGTTCCCTAGGGGGAGCTTCAAGTGTAGAGAGGATCAGTTGGAAAGCACTGGGGCTGAGGGAACGGCAAGTAGGAGGCAGGAAGGAAGGTCCAAGAGCAGCTAAACCGCCCCAAGCCAAGCATGGTACCTGGCACTGGTACCCGTGCCAGGGATGGGGAGGGCGGGGATTCAGCTCAATGGAAGACAGCAAAGATCATCAGAGTGCCAGTCGTCAGGGACAGAAGTCCAAACACTTCTGCCCACTCCTGCTTAGTATCAGTTGCCACGGAAAACAAAACAGTCATGCACTGAATGGAACAGCATTTGTACTCACAGAAGAGACAGCAAGATCAGCTCCAGGAGCGTGCATTGGTCCCCCATGGCTAGTGGATCCTCCCCAGCAGCCAATGGCCAGAGTGCCCCTCTAGTGTCTTAGCACAAGTCCCCCCCCCCCGTGGAGTCTGTAATACTGAAGGTGGCGGGGGGGGGGTATGCCCCAGGGCTCTTTGACTTATGTGCTTAAGCAGAATACAGGAGTACATATTGAGTGTGGATCAGGGAAGGATATTCCCACACAAGGTGGTAAGACTGGAACAGGCCGTATGGGCTCTTTATAACGACCGTAAGAGGTGTTCTAGGCCTAAGTCCCATTCTTACACGAGCGAGCAGGGCTTAAAAGACTGTGAGCAGGAGCCTGCCTTTCCCAAGAGTGTCCACCGTAGACGACTTGCTCAATAAATCTTTGCTAAGGAACTTAAATCTACTAACTGGAGACCTACACGTGAAGGCAAAGTATCCACAGCCCCTACTGGTGAACATCGCTTCCCCTGGGCCCTACTAGCATGCTACTGCTTCTGCTTTTCCTAACTACAGCTGGGATGCCGGTTTCCTGCAGTGAATTTCGGGAACGAAGACGAGGAGTCTCTTGTTACCTCACACCGACCGTTTTGCAGTTCTCGCTTTAATAAGCAAGTTTGCAGAGTATTCTTCATGATTGTGTACACCTGATTAAGTACTGGAAATGAAACTTTTTATTTTTTTTATTATAATTTAATTATTTGACATAGACACAGCGAGAGAGGCAACACAAGCAGGGGGAGTGGGAGAGGGAGCCCGATGTGGGGCTTGATGTGGGGCTCGATCCCAGGACCCTGGCATCATGGCCTGAGCCGAGGCAGACACTTAACGACTGAGCCACCCAGGCGCCCCTGGAAATTCCATCTCCAGTCTCTGCCCACTTGAAGCATCAGGCAAAGGAAACAAGAATGTCTTAGATGGATGCCTTGAGATCAGTGACATTTGATCAGGGTCTGCTGCGAGAGTCCTCCTTTGAGTTTTTGTCAAGTGGGCAAACACTGAGAATGTATATTGAGCCATGTCTGAATTTTAGCATATCTTAAGACAAAAAAAGCTTTTTTCCCCCAACTCCATATGGGAAATGAAATTAACTGCTAGCAACTGCTAATTTGAACTTAAATGGACTCTCATATTTAAAAAAAAATTCTCGGGTATGTGGATAAACCCTATGAAAATTGGTTATATTAATTTGTTTAAACTAGTAAAAAAAAAAGGTACAAGTGAATATACTAAAAACCAGTGAACTGTACACTTTAAAGGGTGAATTTTTCGGCATGTGACATCACATCTCAAAAAAAAGGCAAGAAAAGAGAGGAAGAATAAAATATTAGTAAATACGTCCATAAAAGACTACCCCTCTTCTCCAGAAAAAAAAAAAAAAAATTCCTGTGTATCAGGAATTCCTGGGTACATCCATCTCCGGAGCGCGCACCGTGCGCTACTCTCTATAGAGAGCATGAAGAGCCAGGTTTCCAGACCGTCCTATCTGGGCCAGCACAGATGAACCAGCGTGCCCAAGGCCTCAGCAGCTAGGCGGGCCCAGCAGAGCTTCCATCAGCACCCACGGCTCCCTGCCTCACAAGCCCCGATCCGAAGCCCTATGGTTCTCTGCCCTCCGCGAGCAGGGACGGGAGTGGTCCCACAAGCACCCACCGGAGCCCATCTCCTCCCGTCCCCGCCCGCGAAGTCCTCCCGCCGGCTCGGGCTCTTGGCCCCATCGCCCAGGAGGGAGCTCGGCACCGACCGTCCGCGAGTGTGCGGCGAGCCGGGGCCCGGACACCGAAAAGCCGAGCCGGGGGCCACGCCTGAGCGCGCTCGCCGGCCGGCCCATCTCCCGGCACTGCCGGGAAAGCGGCCCCGGGGCCGACACGACGCAGCGGCCGCGGGGCCGGCGCTGGGAGCGCGGGGTCCTGCGGGGGCGCGCGGGGTCCTGCGGGGCCCTGCGGCGGCCGCCCGCCTGCTGCCAGCGCGGTCGGCGGCCCCGAAACTCCCGGGACCTTCCGGGGCGGGCTGCGCGGGCGCCTGCAGGACCGCTTGGCCCGCGACTGGGGGCCGCCCGCACCACTCCCGGCTCCCGGCCGGCCCGGTGGACGCCTGCGGGCGGCGGGCAGGCAGCGCGCCGGGCAGCCCTCGGTGGGCGGCCATGGCGGCGGCGCTAGGGACGCGGGGGGCGCCGCGGCTCCTGTTGGCGACGCTGCGGGGCCGGGGCCCGAGCTTCTCGGCCATGGTGAGTGCCGGGGCTCGCGGGGCGGGAGGAGGGCGAGGCCCCGCGGCGCCTGCTGGGGGGCTGGGGGGAAGGACCCGGGACGGCCCCGAAGCGGGCCCGGCCTCCGGCCTCGGACCTTGGGGAGCCGCGTTCGGGCGCCGGGCACCTGCCCGACGCCTGGCCGGAGACAAGGGGCCCGCAGCACCATCGTTTTTTCCTGGCTTACGCATCCCGTCGTGTCTACGAGACTGCCCGCCGGAAAAAAAACCGAGGACGAGTTTTGTTTAAAGAAAGCACGAAAAGTAGCTGTAAAACTCTCTGATGCTAAGGGTCACCTGAAGTGACTAAAGGCGCTGTGCCGCTAGACTGCGCTCGCCGAGGGCAGGGACCGGCTCCCGCACGGCGCATCACCGGAAACCCGCTGGCTCAGCGCTGAGTTAACTCACTTGTTTTGCTGTGAATTATTCATAAATTATCTTTTTTGGGAGTGACAGATCTATACTTCTTCCCTCTTCCGCGGGGCGTTCCGTCGGTTTTCTGGCATTAGAAATTAATATAGTGGGATAAATTAACTTGAGGGAAAGTTTTAACACGC